CATGATAATAGCCTATTATCTAATTGCCCTGTCCTAATTAATTACTTATTTTGAAAAAGAAAATTAAATTTTCTGTGATTTTTCTCGTCCTTTCTTTTCTTTTCCCTCGTCAAGGAGGGAAGGAGGAACTTTGATTGTCTTTACAGGAGTGCCGTTCATGGGGTCAGGTATCGTTATAGTCTTCGGTTGATTTTTAATTTATATTTTGAAGAAGAAAATTTGTTTCTCAATTTTTGATTTGATTATATTCTGATGATTTATGTTGGTTTAGTGCTTGTTACGATCTTGGTACCAAAACTTATCAAATTATGTTAGAAATTTCTGATCTGAATTCTTGAAATTCTTTTAACAAGGATTTGGTATTGGAAGTATCTAAATTCGAACAAGTTATTGAACTTCGGATTGTTTTGTGTATATGTTTCTGTACTTTAGTTTTTTGCTTTTTCTTTATCGTGTTTGTACAGATACCTTGAAAGTTCCCGCTGAACTTGAATCAGCTTTGCGGCTGAAGACCTTGCAGTACTTTGTAACACGGAGGCCGTGGCTTGGTAAGTTTTTATTTTCATTTTTGCAGTTCTTTTTTGTGTACGCAGATTCTAATATGCTGTTATTTTCTTGCCCTAATTTTGATTTCGCTTTCATTTGTTTTCCTTTTTGACGGGTATTTTTCTTTTAGATCTTTACGGAATTAATGTTAGGCCTGTTGCACCTTTTGGAAGTTTAAGCAGAACACCTTATTTTGATCCAGCACTGATACACAGGTCCTTGCCTGATGAGCTTCTTTTTGAGGTATTAAATTAGTGAAATGTGAAATTTTATCTGAGCCTGGGTGTTACTCTCTTACTGCTTTTATTTTTACACAGATCAAAGTGATGAGGAGACTTGATAATATGCTTTCTCACTTTAAAATCTTTTTATTTCTCTTGGTTTTCTTTGCTTCATTATTTTCCTTCTTAAATTTCTAAGTCTGGAATGCTTATTATTTTTCTTTGCTTTATTATTTTCCTTGTCAATGCCGAATGCTTTTAGCAGAATCCATTTGCATTTTCTGCTAATGCATTTTTCTTCACATAATAAGGCACATCAACTAATTCTCTTTATTTTAAATTGGACATCATTTGCAGGTCTTTGCACGAATGACCCCATATGATTTAGGAACTGCATCGTGTGTCTGTCGGAAATGGAGGTATACAATTCGTAACCCTGTGTTTTGGCGCAATGCATGCCTAAAAGCTTGGCAGGTAAGATTAGTACAGCTTGTGAGCCTTTTCCTAGTTCATTTGCCCACCAACTGTTGAGGCTTAACACTGGGCCATTATCCATGAAGCTCTCTGGGGCGGTGGAAAACTATAAGATGTTGCAGTCAAAATATGATGGTTCGTGGAGGAAAATGTGGCTTTTAAGACCAAGAATTCGTACTGATGGTAAAATATCTGATTTCCTAGTTTCCTTTCAATTTGAGCACAATCTGTGTCTGTGTGTCTGCATAAGTGTGATTCCTTACTAGAGCTTGCTAGCAGACTGGTACATTTCAATGTAGAATTCCCTCTTGCAGCTAACTTGAAATGATCGTCCATTCATTTTGGCTTTGATCTGGGGGAAGCATCCCATTTACGGGAAAAAAAAAACTGTTGGTAGGTCTAATGTCTTCCAATG